CTGTCTGAGGGGTGTAAAATTTCACCCCCCAGCCTGAGTGATGGAATACTGGCCAAATTCTTGGGAGGGAAACGCAACAACCACTCGGTCTTGTCTGGATTGAGAACAAGCCTGTTAATCCCCTTTCAGACCCTGACAGCCTCCAGGCACTGGCACATCATGTCAACCGCTTCACTGAGTTGGCATGGGGCAGACAGATACAGCTGAGTATCGTCCGCATATTGATGGTATTTTATCCCATTGAATGATCTCACCCAGTGGCTTCATGTAGATATTGAACAGAAGGGGGGATAGGACCGAACCCTGAGGAACCCCATATTTTAGGGGCCTAGGGGTCGACCTCTCTCTCCCCCAACTAACACTGAGAGCTAGAAGGACAAAGCAGTATATAGCAAGCAAGCAGCCATTACAAAATTACTGTATTTTATAATAAATAGTTCATATACGTTCTGCTGGAAAAATTCAGAATCCAAATTTGATTTTGTATCGGAAAACTATACCTAGTTCCTGCTATAGCACACCTTTGCTTTCCCTGTCAGCTAGCAGCTATTATTAATTATGCATGAAGGATTATTTGAAATGGGGAACAAAGATAGCTGTATGACATTACTTTTAACTTTTTTTAATTGATAAACATAAAAAGCTTTTACCGAGCAGGTAGGCTAAAATGGAATGGAGGGAACAAAATAAAACTGTATAGCCAGTTGTTCTATCACCTTAGTAGGATCCAGACACTGAAGTGGCATTTCTGTGACTGAATTTTGGTAAATGTTAAATAACATGTTTTAGCAACATTTATGTAGGGCAATATTAAAATGAGAGATTATGTTACTATTCCTTAATTCTGGAGACTTGTTCTGGACTTGTGAGTTTATGTTTGTGGATTGATAAATCAAAGTTCTCTGATCTGACTAGCTATTTTTTTAAATATAGGATACAAATCCTACGCTCACTGCTCAAAGCAATTGCCGCTATGAGATTGAATGGGTTACTGAGTCTGTCTGTGCCAGGGACTACCTGGAGAGTCATAATTGTACTCTTAGCAGTGAACAACATGGTATTTATGTGGATCTGACACCTCTTATGCAATCTCCAGGTAACTATCCTATTTCCATTAGAATGTGTGCAACATGATATTTTATACAAGTAAAACCAGAAGCTGTAGCAAAAAAGACAAATTTCAAATTCTGGTATAGGTGTATGGTACAAAGTGTTACATAAGCAGTGTTTTCGTCTTTAAAATGACCCAAATGGATGGATATATAAATGGAGTCACCATAGATGGGATTGTACTATTTTTAAGATTATCTTTTTAAATGTATTTTTATGCATGGGAACAGTTAACTTGCTTTTTGACAAAAATACAGTATTTATTAAAGCATTAAAACAAAAGCAACAAGTAAATCAACAGATTGTATTTGCAGATTGCTGATTAATCAAGTCATTGCAATAAGTGCTCTAAAATTTAATGAGCTAGCAGTTTAAAAATCAGAGTAATGAACAAATATGATAACACACAGTGGAAGTAGCATTATATATCTGCTCTAGAAATCACAAAATTATGGTTTCCTTTTTGGTTATGTCAGATAAGGATGAAGATTACATAAGCTTAAAGATACTAAAACAAAAATAAAAATGGCAGAATGAAAACAAAAATAAACAAAAACATAAAGAGAAACATTAGTGACCCGGTTTACAGATATTTTCACTGATTTATCAGCTTTATATATGCATGGGATTTCATAATGCTAATATGTATTTCATAATGCAGTATGTAATTCAATTTAATCCCTCCAGAACTGGGGTATGGAGAAAAAAAACTAGAAAATTTGTTACGAGACTCTTATTTTGAATCTGAGGATGAAATGGAAAAAATTATAAATATCTAGTATGTAGTTTTCATGAAATTAAAATCTGTTTTGCAAAATCCTACTCCTGAATCATAGGATAAGTTTAGAAAATGGCTAAAAAGAGCATCACTTGTGGCACACAGGCAGATTGTAACAATGCAATACAATGATCATATAAGTATTTTGGTGTCATAAATATACATTTCCATTTGTATGATCATTTTAGTATTTCAGCAGTGGATTTTAATCATATTTTCTTTAGGTGATGTGTCACCATATCTTTCAAAAGACAAAGAGTATAACTATTATCTGAATGTATGTGGGAAAGCAGCTGGTGGTTTTTGTATGGACAAGGATGTGTCTTCATGCCAAGTTAAAGCTGAAAAAAGTCAGCCGAAAGTGGCAGGAAGATTTACCAATCAAACTCTCAGGTTAGTACTAGTCCAGAAATGTAAATATGTTTCTTTGGGAAACAATATGTGATGTTACCCAAAAATATTTTGTTTGATATTAGAGAAAAATAGTTTTTGTTTCTGAAAAAAAATATTTTTCACAACATAAAACACTGTGCAGGTAGTCTTCAAGTTATTATTACTCATTAAGCAATTGTCCATAGTTTTGCTGGTACTGTGATGCTTACAACTAGTTCTTGAAATTCTGGCTGCTGCAGCATCCAATAAAACTAATTAAGTAGAATTGTATTGGTTTTTTTAAAATCAGGTATGCTGATGGAGACCTTATTCTGACGTATCCAGGAGGAGATAGTTGTAGCTCGGGTTTTCAGAGAATGACAGTCATAAATTTTGAATGCAATCAAACTGCAGGTAATGTACCATTCTGGATGTTAATGGATTAATTGGTACAGTATTGTTCTGTTGGAGAAACTGCTGATACTTTAAAAAACATATAGAAAAATGTTATATAGAAAACTAGATATTTCATTTCATTACCACCCATGTCATTCAAACAGACACGTTCAATAAAATAAGTTGTGGTTTATTCGGTAAATGAATGCACTAAACAAATTATAAAATTATAGGTAAGTGTGGTATGTGAACTCTAATATTAATTGCAATGTTAAAGCCTTTTTATTTCAACATGTGATAGATTGGCTCATGCCAATTCTGCTATGGAAATGGATGCCCAGTTAAATTATATTTGACTTCAAGTTTTTAATTGTTAATTTTGGTCTGGACTCTGTTATTCTTATGTTTGATTATGTGTCATAAGCCTAATTGTGAATATTTAATGGATAGTATCAGTATTTTAATCTGGTATCTTTTTATATGTTTCATGTTATATGTTAACATTTTATAATATGAATGTTTCCTTATTTTTGTGAATTTATTAAAAGATAATAATGGCAAAGGACATCCAGAATTTAATGGTGAAACAGACTGTTCATATTTTTTCACTTGGCAAACCAAATATGCTTGTGTTGGAGAAGAAGAAGGTTTGCCTTGCATGGTTTCAGATAAGAAGAAAAAGTATGACTTGACAAGACTGATTCGTCATTCTGGTATGAAACTTATAAAAATCTATTGTCTGCTTATTTGTTTTAAAAGCTCTAGTTGATATATAACTGGTTGTCAGAAATGCTGTCCTAAACCTAACATATTGTTGCCAAATATACTGGGTAAATAGTAGAATATTGATGATTTTCCAAGATAAAAAGATTTATGTTTAGAGATATTACTAGAAAAGCTTTGTTTTACTTTTGAACATAATGCACATTACTCAATGAACTTTGTGGTTGTAGTGGTGCAATGCAGGAGGCGATACTCCCAACACATTGATGTCACTATGTTGTTTATATTGCTAGCTTAACATTTTATGAAAAACCTAAGGCATATTCAATCCAGCCTCTGTGTCAGATGTTGACCAACCAGATCCATTGAACATGAGGCAGTTATCCTCTTCCAATGTTCCAGGGCATGTTGCTTGGAAATTTATGTAATCCTGCAGATCACAGCAAGTACTGGGCTTGGTTTTTGTGTTAACCCTACAAACACTGCAAATTAAGAGTGCTCCCAATTTGACCTCCTGGAAGAAGAACTTTACTCCCTTTATGATATGTGGCATGGTTATCATTAAATTGTTGTACGGTTTTATATTATATACTAAATGACAGTTTTGTGGTGGCTTCTAAATAGTCCATAGGTGATAGCTACAGGCTCTGGTTTATTAGTATTTTCACCTGACCACATTTGTACATTTCTCCTTTGCATTCCTTTTTTGAACCTTGTTCTTGAGTTTAAGAAAAAGTCTTACAATAACTGAACTTAATTGTCATTTTGGGTAGGGAATTAAGTGTGGAATGTTAGATAATGTGGCATTAGAAAGCAAGCAGGCAGTGTATAGCTATAGTAGAAACTAGGAAAGAAAAGTACTGAGAGTTACCATGAGTTGTAAATTAGTTAATTATGGTAAATTAGATATATTGTATTTTCTTATCTCTTACTTTTTATTTCTTCGTTTTACAATTGCTTACTCCCTTTCTGCAATGTTTATAACTGCTTACTCCAAAGGGAAATAACATGATGGATAGGTTGCATCTAAATATGTCATCTTAATTCTAGAATCGGAGGAGAATTGGGAAGCTGTAGATATCAACCCAGTAGAAGCAAAAAGGAAACGTTTCTTTATAAATATCTGTCACAAGGTCCTCCAGAAAGGAGAAGCCATGTACTGTGCCAAAGATGCATCTGTTTGCTCTGTTGGTGAGTAGGGGTGTAAACCCAGCCTCTCTCTTAAAAAGAGCTAAGTTGCTTTTCTTCTCATAGAACAACAATAATAATTTATTTTAAGTCTTCAGGACAAAGTGTATGCTCTAGAATTTGCACTTCCACTTCTTCTGTTTTGCATGTTTCTTTCAATTTTCATGTCTTAAATTTTAAGATGGTATCTGTATTAAAATTACAATTTACCTTACATTTAGGAAACTTGCTTAACATTCTAGAAGGTTTGATAAATCCTTAAGTTCTAAGACTGATTATTAAAATGGTAGCTATCCACATCGTAAGAATTGAGAAAATAAGGAGAGAAGATTTAGAAATATAGGTTTGGGAAATAAGGCATATGTTCTTGCTACACTTCATATATAAAATTCCCTAAAGAGCATATGTTGTAGGAAGCTATGCTATGAACCTTAATAATCATCATTTTCCCTCTTCCTTCGTTGTTTGTTTTGATCACTTGTATTTTCAATAATTGTACTTATTTTACATTATTTCTATGCACAAAGCTCTGGCAAGCATACAATTACACAAATGAAACCATCAAATATATAATTGCAATAGAATGAAATAAAAAATGAAGTAAGACTAGTACGTATGAGATACTAAGTTCAAAAGCCAGGCGGAAGAGAATACTTTTAATTTATGTTCTAAATGTCCATAGAAAGGGGTAATTTATAGATGGTAGCTGTTCCCTAGGATTGGGAAGAGGAAGAGGAGTCATATTTTCTGGTTCCACTCCTGAATTTTATGTTGCATAGAAATATATATGTCAGATGCAAGCTAAAAATCTTGGTATTTTTAGTTATGATTTAGCTTTTGATTTAAATGGATATATGCACCTTATAATGCCCTTGGTCATTTGGTGAATCCACAGCATAAATAGAGCAATCTTTAGTGGTTTATTATAACAGCATTTTAAAACAATTCTTCAATCCCTTTATTTTCAGGATAAAATAATTTTTTCCATCTGACACCTATATTGAAGATTTTATTTTGGTATATAATCCTTCATTTAATTTGTGCTAACCCTGCAGTTTAAGGGTGAAAGCCTTTTCCTTGAAAGGAAGGATTCATAGTTTTCATATTGTGTTGCTTTTTAGATAAAAACAATAATACAAGAAATCTTGGGACCTTCATGTCTACTCCCAAAAAGGTTGGAGAAAATATTGAGCTTCACTATTCAGATGGAGACGATTGTGCACCCAATAAAAAAATTGAAACAAATATAATTCTTATATGTAAACCAGGTGAGTGATTCATTATTAAACCTTAAATATCTGACCTTTATAGAGAATAGTAAAATTTTGAATGCAATGGCAGTGAGACCTTAAAGTCTGCCAGGACATCTTTTTTATTCTTTCAATTTGATCATTAATAATTAAACCATTCTCAAGCTACTTCTGAAGCCTTAGAGCCTTTTATATTTAGCCTTTTATATTTACACATGCAAGAAAATTTGATATCTTGGAAAGGTTTGTTTGTTTCAAATGGAAATGGTGTGATAGTTCCTAGTGTGGTTGAGGACCTCAAAACATGGACTGATTTATTGGGGATTTTTATTTTTACCTTATAGAATTACTAATATCTTCTTATGGCTAAACAGATTGCTATTTGATGAGATTGTTTTGCAGATTAACTTTGTCCTCACCCTGTGATGGTAAACTTATGGCACATGCGCCACAGGTGGGACACAGAGCCATATTTGGAGGCATGCCAGCTGTCAGCTCCAGCGCGCATGTGCACACCGACCAGTTGATTTTTCGCTCTTTCAGAGGGCAATGGAAGGCCGCTTTCGTCCTCCCCAGGATTCAGGAAAGCCTCCGGAGGTTGGGGAGGGCGAAAAACAGCCCCAACAGCCAAACTGGAAGTTCGTTCCCAAACCCCAAACCAACAGGTTGGCTGTTGGGACCATTTTTTGCTCAGGCTTCAAAAAAACCTCCGGAGGCTGGGGAGGCAAAAAACGGCATACACAGTGGTACTTAAAAGTGAATACTTTTGAATCTTCAATATTTCTGTATACATACAAACTAAAATGTGGTTTGTTTTCCACACAAATAGTAAAACCAGTTAGAAAACACAAATATTTAAAAAAAAAATCACCATTATACTTGTTTGTGTATTTATTGAGGAAAATTATCCAAAGCATATGTGGAAAAGAGTCAAAAGGGAGTTTATGCAAAAATGTTTTGATTTGAACCATTTTGAACTAAAACCTCCCTGGCTTGAGTGTGAAACAGCTGCTTTGGCAATGGAACAATTATTTTTAGTTATTCCAAAAGTTATCTGAGCTCAGAATGCACCTAAGATGCTTGAAATAGCCAATTTTTTGTTTGAGAATGGTTTGAATAAAAAAGATTACACATGTCTAGTCCATAAATCAGAATTTTACGCCTGAAAGAAAATCAGGAAAAAATGTGGCATTTGTCACTCTTTATATTTTATTGGTGATGGGAAATACTCTCTGATGGAAGAAATATAAACTGATTAAATAATTGATCATATATCTGATCGGTTAATCTGGTAAATTCTGTTACTATGTTCTTGAAGATGAGTAATTATTCAGATCGATATTTTTCTATTCATAGGTGATCTGGAAAGTGCTCCTGTTTTGATTAATTATGATGGATGCTTGTTTGAGTTTGAATGGCATACTGCTGCTGCCTGTGTCCTGTCTAAAACAAAAGGAGACCACTGCAAAGTTTCAAATCTTCAAGCTGGTATGTAGGTAAAAAAACAAAAACAAATGGGGAATTGAGATTTCCCGTCTGCTTTTAACATTTTGTGTCAGCTAGCAGCACTGTTTTTCATCTTCATTCCAAGATTAAGTTTAGGATTATACATACTTAAAATGGTTATTACATATCTTTCCTCTTAAGATGACTGTCTTACGTACATTCACAACTTTTTATTAAATAAGATTTTTTAAAATTTCTACTTAGGAGTTTCCTTCGACTTATCGCCACTAATGAATGAATCTTTCTCAATAAACACAACTGACTATACCTTTCACATTAGTATTTGTGGCTCTTTGTCAAATAAGTATTGTGGATCAGAGTCTGCAGTTTGTCAAGTAAAGAAAAAGTAAGTATGTGTATGCCTCCTGAATCTCCATTTTATGAGACACTTGATGATCTTTACATACTTTTTGTCCTTACTGTAAATTGTGAAATTATCTAGGGCGGGGCTCAAAGTATGAAATAAACCAAAAATTGTGACTAAGGCTGTTGCTTTACCTGCTCTATGTTTATTGTGTCCTGTAAAATCACTGCTCCACATCTCAAGTTGGCCTTTCAAACTCAAGTGAATTCAGTCTTTTCATCAGGTGAAGTGATGTTCCATTTTCCCCCAATCCCATGGCCAAATTAGGGAAATTTGATCCAGGATTACTGATGACATACAAATAAAAGTATGTTGTATCTTCAAAATGAGTTAGTTCCTTTAGCTGAGTGATTGTGAGGTGCTGAATAAGATTAATTACATTTTGAAATATTATTTTGTGTTTTGTGTTAGGTTGTTTACATTACAGTTTTTATTTATATTTCTGTCACGTATGCTTTATTTATATACTTACTGAATGGATTGTGACAATAATAATACTGAATGAATGCTTCCTCTAAAACTGTCTTGGAATCAAAAACTTTCTAGGATATCTCTTCCAATCCCAACTGATCAATCTGAAGGAGCTGTTCCACTACATGAATTGCCCAATGGCATGAACTCCTGATTAATACTTGACCTGAGCACCTAATTTTATCGAGTGGCTATAAATTTGTGCTAGGATGTGGCCCTAGCAATTTGCCTTGTAAATAAAATATGAATTATTGTTGATTATGATAGGAAAACATGTTCCAAACATGAGTGTATCTTGGATTAGTGATAACTCATTGGACAAACCACATTACAGACAGTTGATTCATAAGATTGAAGTTATCAGTCAAGAAACATGTATGTGACAGTTACATATACTTTTGTAATGCAGCTTAATTTTTGGAAATGTGACATTATGCTGGAACATTTAAAGCAAACGTACATGAAATTGCATTAATGTATAATTCTAGTGGCCTGGATTCTTGGAATCTTGGGATGCCCAGTTCTCAGCTGTCCTATTATAATGGAATTATTCAGCTAAACTATCAGAATGGCACACCCTACAACAATGCGCAGCATACAACACGGTCTACCCATATAACATTCCTGTGTGATCGTGATGCAAACAAGAGTGTACTGGAGTATCAGGTAGGAGCTGAATAAGAAAAAAATACTTTAATTCTGTTCTTGCACTGCATCTTTAAGTCAACTTTTGAAGGGCTAACAAAATGGGTAATTAACTCACCAGCACTGTTCCCTCTAAGGTGCGCGGCTGCGCGGCCGCGCACATGGCAAGAAACCCCC